AAGTTAAAAGATCTTTACCTCCTATTTGGGTGACTTGGGACAAATCACTTTACTTCTGAGTCTTAATTTCTTCTTCTATAAGATAAACATAGACACTATCATTCCATTTCTCTTAGACTCTAAGATAACATATGGGAAAGCATTTTATCAATTAGAAAGTCATAATTAATTTTAGACTAGATAAGATTTTTCTGAAGTTATGTAATGAATCACACAAATTAGGAAAAAGATATAATCTCTCATCAACTACCAAAAGTACTCTAGCCAAGACTACCAATGGGCAATGATCTCCCATATGCTTAAAATCAAAGATCTTTCTTAATCATCTGACTCAATCTATCAACAGCACTTGACACAGATTATCTTTCTTCCTCCTGGAGACACTTTCTTCACTGAGCTCAACCTCCTGCCATTCTTTACCTGCCCTTTCTCATCTTCCCACTTCTAAACCTTGCAGACCCCACGGCTTAGTATCTAGACCTCCTATCTTTCTACACTCATTCCCTTAGTGATCTCATCCAGGCTCATGGCTTTAAATAGCATTTAATTTCTTCCAAATCACAATTCACATCTCTAAATTTTTTCCCTGAAAAACCAGACTTGCGTATTAACCTGTCTAGATGCTTGAAATATATCTTAATATTAATGTGTCCAAACTGAGCTCTGGTCTCTTGCACCCCAACCCCCATTTCAGTAAATTGGCATTCGGTCTGTTCAGATGCTCATACCAAAAGTCTCAGAATCATACTTGACTCTTCTTTTTTTCATAATTCCTATCTACTTCACCAGAAAATCCCCAGCCAAAAATATCTCCAGAATTCAACCCATTCTCACTAACTCCGTGCTGCTTTTACCCTCATCCAAGTGACCATCACCTCTCACTTGATACCTGAAATAGCTCCTACATGATCTCCCTGTTTCTGCCCTTGTCCACTCTGATTATCTCAATCCACCAGCCAGAGCCACCATGTTACAACACGACTTACATCAGAACAATCGCTGTTTAAACCTCCAGTGGAATCCCCGGGACCTGAGTGAAAAATCCGAAGTCCTCACAATGGCCTTTAGGGATCCATGTGACCTGCTCACCATATTCCCATTTCCTCTAAGACCTCATCTCCTACCACCATCCCTTTTGCTCATTCCACTCCAGCCAACGTGCCCTTCCTGCTTTTCCAGTGATTTACCATGGCGCCATGCCCCTGCCTGTTCTTCTACCCAGCATCCCTTAGCTCATCCATTCACTTCTCTCATGGCATTCCTCAAGTGTCACCTTCTCCATGAAGTCATCACTGGCCATCCCACTGAACATTGCAGCTGCTGCCCTCACACTCCCTATCTTCCTTTCCTGCTTTATTTTATTCGATAGTTAGTTGCTGCCTTTAAACATATATTTTATTGTCACTAATAAAAGTTCCAAGAGTGCAGGGATTTTTAGTTCTTGTGTATCCTCAGTGCTTAGAACAATTCCCAGCACATAGAAGCCATTAAATAAATATTATTTAAAAGAGAGAATAAGAAAAAAGTGATCAAACGGAGTTGGTTTTATAGTTTCATGATATATGTGTCTAAACAATAATAAGCAGAACTACCATCAAAGTACTTAGAAATGACTGGAATGTAAAAATCAGCAAATTTGAAGCTATGAAGAAGAAATCAATGTGAATTTGAGAACACCTATTATACCTAATCAAACTCATAGCAAATAATTAAGTAGAAATGGTACTCAAAATATAACAAAATATTCAGGTGGTCAACTCCTAGACTTAATATAAAATTCAAAAACAAATCAGTGTTGTTGTCTTTTTTTAATATATTTTATTGATTTTTTTACAGAGAGGAGGAGAGAGGGATAGAGAGCTAGAAACGTCGATGAGAAAGAAACATCAACCAGCTGCCTCTTGCACACCCCCTACCAGGGATGTGCCCGCAACCAATGTACATGCTCTTGACTGGAATCAAACCTGGGACCTTTCAGTCTGCCGACAGATGCTCTACCACTGAGCCAAACCGGTTTCGGCAAACCAGTGCTTTTTTATTTACTTTAAATCCTTAATGTGTATTGTATTCATCATTTTTAGATGGCATATATGAATGTTTAGATTTGCTTCCTATGTATATTAAGTGCAAATACTTTGGTAGATTGTTCTGATTTCAGTAATTCAAATTAATCCACATCACTAAGCAGTTTTAAATAACCAAGACTAAAATTTGGTATTTACAGTAAAGTTATTAAGCATATTTGGTTATAACTTAAGAATTAACATCATATATAAAAAAGTAAAGTTTATCACTTTAAAATCTATAATTACAAATTATTGTATTAGTAGGTGCTATACTCAAAATATAATCTTCTGATTAAAATAGATGTGGTCCACAAACAAAGTTTTGGAAACATCTGGGAGGAAAATATTTTCTCATTTAAATATTTACTGATTTCATATTTTTCTTCTTAACATTTCCAGGCAACTACCCGCTGGTAGATTACAAATGAGAAGAAGCAATACCTTAATATTCCCATCAGAAACTTCCTAAAGGTAAATGAATATAATTTTCATCAAACTAAATAATCACTCAGAGAAGGCAAATCTTGCTAAATTACAAATCTAGAAAATGAAAACCCAGGACTTAAACTTCATTTCACGATAAGATGCTAGTCTTCTAAGTGTTGTTTATACTAACTGTGAATTTTCTGTTTAAATAAAGACCATTCTATAAAAACTTATATCAGAAAATGTTCAATAGCTTTTCATTTCCTCATCAAGAAACCACTGAACCATCACTGGAAAATGAATAACAAAAATTTTAAAACTATATCTAAACCCATTCCTCATGGGTAACATTGAAAAAAGAGAAATTGAGTAAATCCATTCTAGAAACTTGCTATTATCTCAATCCACAGAAATTTCTAGAAGGAAAGGGAAGGACCAAAATCCCAAGATGAAGCTATGACCTTCAGCCACATGCTTACAACTTGAGCTAGGTTATTTGATCTCAATACAGCCAGCCAGAACCACCATGTTACAACACTAATTACATCAGAGCAGTCACTGTTTAAACCCCCCAATGGAATCTCCCATCCCTGAGTGAAAAATCCCAACTCCTCACAATGGCCTTTAAGGCCCCATGTGATATGCTCACCGTATTCCCATTTCCTCGATGATCACATCTCCTACCACATGCTTACACTTAATAAATGTTTGTCAAAGTGAATTCATCTACACTTAACCAGATAACAGACTTGAACAGGACCTATTTTCAGGGAAAAACATTTAAATATGTGAAAAATTCTATCCAAATTGACTTTGAATATTTCAGTGCATATTTTTGGTCAATGTGGCTTGAAATCTGTAAGGCAGTCAACAAAGGAAGTTGGGAGTACCAAAAGGTCACTAATTTGCTCCAAAAGGCAATGATCATACCTTTTATTATATGATGAAAGATACTTAGCCCTCTGTTGTTTCTAACATATATGCTTTTAAAAATGAGGTAAGTGTTATCATCCCCATTTACAAGTCCAGAGACTGAGACCCTAAGAAGCCAAGTAACCTGGCAAATGGGTCATGGTAAGTAGCTGCCTTGGCTGGGATTCAAATTCAGGTCTTTTTATTCCAAAGCCTATTTCTAAACCTCTGAGCCCAACACTGGATGGCCATTAGAACAAATTCAAACATACTCACTTTAGACATTTGTAGGCAAAACACTTAAGGAGAAATAATAATGCACTTTCTACCCCCCAAAAAACATTCCAGCAGATAAACTTCTGTTGAAAACATCTGAAGAACTCTGACATTTCCATACAGCAACTTTACAGAAAATGTAAAATTATTTCCTCAACTAATATTCTGAGTTATGAATTCAAACAAAATAATTATTAACACACATGAAATTATCCACCTCAGTAACTCTATTGTTCAATAATTTTAAAAGAAACTTCACAAGAAAGGATGCACCTTAATTACAGGAGTATGAGCAAATCATACAATCTTAAGGTAAAATATTTCTTAAAGTTTATTTTCCTTAATCTTCATTTTATAGTTGATAAGTTAAAGTCCAAGAAGATTAAGTAGCTTGCCTAAGTTTATACAACTAAAAAGAAATCCTAATAGTCTTTTTTTACTTTTAACAGGGTAAAAGTATTTCTAATTCTTTATTGTCTTCTTTTAACCAGACCTGAACATTTGTCAAAGTAATATATTAATGATAGTTGCCATCCATACCATTTAAAACTTCCTTTAAATTGAGTCACTTTGAGAATCAAATCTTACAACTTAAATCATTTCAAAGTCATATCTTTTGAACAAAAGAAAACTCTCACTTTCCTTGGCAAACAAGGAAAGTTAAACAAGGTAAGTAAATACAGTATCGAAACACTTAGATTACCAACTGTATTTATGTGGACTTTTAATTGCTTTCTCATAGAGACAGACAAAAATGAACTATAAGACTTAGAAGTGGGACCAGAAGACTCTTCATGAATGTTAGAAAAACTTGATGTATTCCATTAAGACTAAACATACTCACAGACTCTTTGTTATTACACTGTCAAGTTTTCATTTATTTTTGGTTAGTTTTGGATTTTGTTTACCAAAATGAAATGTCAAAAGTGAAAAAAATAATAATAATGCAAACCTCAAAAGTCTGCTAATGTAGAAACATCAACTACCATATTTAAAGACACAGCCAGTCATAAACAAAATAAGGCATTTGCATATTGGACCCATCATTGTTACATAACTTTCCTTAGTGACAACGTAATCCTTATTCATTTGTGTGCTGATGATGAAGAGCACATTGTAAACCTGATAAAATGTCATCAAAAGTACTCAAATCCTCATTCCAAATGAAAAAGAACCTACCAAAACCAGTTCAAAACAAGGAAATCTGAAGTCATAAATCACTGTGATCAGGCAAAACTCAAAATAACTAGACAAGGTTCTCATGGCACTAGCACCAGCCCCAAAATGAAGCACTGGTGGGGTATTTAAAAAGAAAAGTACCTTTCAGGTGGAGAATTCCCAGTGACCACGTTGTAGTAATCCACATAGGGAAGGCATCCTAGAAATTCCAACATTTTAACTTTTAAGTAACTCCAAACAAAGAAGTGTGATAACTTTTCCTCCAACAGTGGTGTGACGGTGACGATGTACTTCCATAATGTTCACTGATAGAAAGATCCCGAAAGAGCAATGCACTGCATGATGCTTTCTAGATGCTGATATTAACAATGACACCTGTACAATTAAAGTTAATTAATGTTAGCTTCCAGGTCATTCGACATACTCGGTTTCTTTAAAAATGTAGCCGTATGATTATATCGCAATCTTTGACATGAAAATTTAAAACTGCATAGTTCTGGCACTTGAATCCCTTCTGGCTGCAAGTTTTAAATAATGGGCACTTCTCTACAAAAGCATGACTTGAAGAAATTAAAAGAGACTCGGTTTTGGATGTTCCATGTGTCATGTTAAAGTGTGGAGGTGGGTAAGTCCACGGCTGGTAGGAAAGCTCTGGTTCTAGGGTGAGGACAGGAGAGGAAAGAGGAGCTGGTGATAAATTACCTTGGTATTTGGAAGGATCGCATGAAACATACCTGAAGATAATGACCTAAATTTTCATTGTTGGACTCAAGAAGCCTGTTCCACCCATTCCTAATATTTCAACACATCCTAAAAGCTAAGCCATACTACACTTGCCCACTTTCAACCAACTCCCAACTGTTGTCCCTGAATGTTTTTTCTATTTACCAAGTGACGGGACCAATAAACAACTTTTGTGTTGAAGTGAGAAAGCGCTGAAAGAAATTTCATATAAAGTGGAGATGTTTACTAGCTGCGGAGTGATTGCTTCATCTGAGCAAGAACCAACCTAGAAACCCTGCAAAGGAGGCTACTTGGAAACAAAGTTACTGGGTCTCCTTCTGCCCAAAAACACGGAGGAGACTGCGCTGCCTCTGCCCCCGCTGGAGCGGCCACAGCCATCCCTCTTTGGGGCGGGCGTGGCAGATGGAAACAAAAGGTTAAAACACAAAAGGCGGGCGGAGGGCAGGGTCTGAGAATCTTCCAGAGCTCACGTTCTACTTTCTGTTCAAATACATTGAAATGGAGAGGAGCGAAGGAGGGGGTAAAGTGAGAGAGGTGGCGATGGGTCCCAAGGGCAGCGTAGGTTATTCTGGGTGGGTGGTGAAACTCAGGGGCACAGGGGATGGCCGGCTCTAACTAGTGGTCCAGGCCCCATCCCTCCATCCCTGCATCTCTGACAGTCTGGAACCTGTGGCTTCTCCCACCCACCCCAGCCCCAAATAATAAACCTTCCAGAACTCTTACCTGTTTGCTCTAACCGCTGGACCACAAACACAAGAGTCCACACCCCTCCAACCCAAACCTTCTCTGCATTCTATTGTTGCAGCTTTGGCATTGTGCCTTAGATCTCCTGACGCTGCTCCGCAGACAGTTAAGTTATAAAACGGTGAGGAAAAGACCCTCCCGGTCCCCCACCCCCAGCTCCATATCTTTTTCTTTTGCATGACAAAGTCTGGGCGAGGTGGGGGTGAGACTGGGCAGACCCCATCCATTTCTCGCGTGTGCGCGCAACTGGGGGAAGGCGAGGCAATGTCCCCTTGATGGATATGCCCTTCCACCCACCCCAGCTCCTCATAGAAAGGGGCACTTGGGATAAATGCCTGCCTGGCTTTTGCCTATTAAAAAATGAACAACTAAAACCATCTCCGCAAGTTCGCTAAAGAACAAAAGAGAAGGGTGCGCGGAAAGGAGGCACAACTTTCCAGCCAAACTTCGTCAACTGGACGGCTCCCCAGTCCTCCCAGGGCGGTAGCCGGGCGCATCGGGGAGAAGAGAGGTAAACAAGACAACAGTCTTCCACTCACCTTCCTCCCACTGGGTCACAATGTTCAGGGACGTTCCCCCGCGGCGGTCCGGGAGGCGCGCGGACACTTTGGGGTGGCCTGTGACAGCGCGGAAAGTCGTGGCGGCAAAGTTGTGAGAGGGAGATACCCGGGCGTCCGGGGCGAGGGGAGGAGAGTTCATCAGAGTTCCCCCCTTTGTTCCCAGTCCCGGAGCAGACAAAGAGGCGGCGAGCGGCGGCAGGTTCTCCCTCTCACCCCTTCTTCCTCTCCCCTCCCCTCCCTCCCTCCCTCCCCGCCCCCTCCCTCCCCGCATCTCCCGCCCAGCTCTCGATCCTCCGAGGCTCCGGGGCCGCGCAGTCCCCAGCTCCTCCACGCCACTCCACCCGACCCAGTCCTCTCACCACCTCGCTCCAACTTTGCCCGGAGATGCCGGTCCCGGTCCCCTCCCTCCAGGCCGCCGCCTCCCGAACCCGCGCAAAGTCTGCGAGGGGAATCTTCCAAAATCATTGTTTCCGGGAGATGCGCCTCTTTGTTCGCACTTTCCCTGCCAATCAACGGTGAGCGATCCACTTTGGCATCGAGTTTCCGTCAGTTTCTCATCATCCCTATATAGACAAGATGCGCAGGGCAGAGGGTCAGCCCCAGAGGATACAGGCGACTGACACAATCGGAGGTGTGGCGCGCCCCGGGCTCTCTCTCCATCCCTGTTCTCCCGCCCTCAGTCACCCCTCCGCCCAGCACACCAGGACAGCCCAGAGGGGTTCCAAGTGTGGGAACTCACTCCTCCCCCGAGGACCCCACCACGGAGTCCCTTGGGGGAGCCCACTCATCCTCAGGACAAAGCCCAGCTCCAGGGTACCTGTTGCTGCTGCTGCTGCGCAGCCCGGTCCAGAGACTGGAGAGCCAGCGGGTCCACACCTGGACGTCGAGCCCACTGCTCAACCTCAGATTTGCCTCAACCTCCATCCGCGACGGCAAGGCTCTGGCTGGCCCCACGTTCCTTCTGCCCTGGAGCCAAGCACTCCTCTCCTGTTTCGTTCCCTTCGCCATTGCCCGGTTCTCGCCCCAAAGATCTGACTCTGTGTTCCTGGCCGCCTCCCATCCGGTACCCCTAGTGCGGCCCAGGCGAGCATCCCCTCTGTCCGTCCCCTCCCTCAGGGCCGAGGACATCGGATGTCTGGACCAGGGACAGCTACAAACCCTTCCTTAGGTCCTTGACCAGTCGTTTCCCCCAAACTCCAGAATTGGGAACCCCACCCTGACCTCCCCCCCCAATCTTTAGACCCTCATCCGCAGTGTGGCCCACAGCATTGGCTCTGAGGGACTCAGAGCAGCGCCAATAGTTCTTATATGTCCATCTCACCAGAACTGAAAAGGAAGAAAGCCGAGAGGTGGGGGAAATAGGAAAGAATGGGGGCCCAAGTGGGGAAACAGTTTGTAGAGCAAAGGAAAAACCCAACTTCCCAAAGCAAATGCCCACCCTCCAGGAGGTACCGCAGAGAGCGCACCTTCCTTAAACCCTCTTTCTCATCCTAGACGTGGGGTCTTGGTGGGATGGGGAAGTTTGGGGGTCATGGGTTGGGGTGGAGGAAGGAGGCTTGGGGCCTTGGGCGCAGTGCCGGGATAAGGGTGGGGGTGGGGGTGGGGGTGGGGGAGATTCCTTAAGGGGGAGGAGGTGGGGAGGAAGCAATGAGCCCCTGCTGGGTCCGGAATGTCGCGGCCGGCGGTCCCCTCTCTCGCCTGGCGACTCCCGGCCAGGTCTGTCCCCCGGCGCAGAACAAAGAAGCCGCGAGGAGGGCCTCTGTCCTCGCCTCCGGCGGTGGTCCCAGCCCCGAACGCCGCTGACAGGAGCCCACTCCTCGCTCAGAAACTTTGCAACCAACTTCTCCCGGAGTGCGCGCGGGGCGTGGGGCGCGGGAGGAGGAATGGGCACCACCGCATCCCGAGACCAGAGATGCCCGCTAGTTCGTCCTCCAGCCGGTCCGCCCGGCGGCCCCCGGTGCAGGGGTGGGGGGTACGCGCTTCCCCTGCTCCCCTGGAAGAACGAAACGAGTTTCTTTAGTTTGGCCGCGCAGCGCTGGGCAGGGAGGTGGGAAGAAAGAGGCGGCAAACAAGAAGCGGTTAAGGGGAAGGATCGGGGCAGCGACTCGGACCTGGGTGTCGGGCTCCAGGCAGCAGCGAGGCGCGTGGGAGCCGCGCCCGTCGGGCCGGGTTCCTGCGCGCTCGTCCCGCCCTCCGGTCCCGGGAGCAGCCGCCGGGCCTCGGAGCCAGGACTCCGGCCCGCCTCCCTGTGCCTGAGCCTTCTCAGCTGCGGGGCCCAGGCACCTGCGCCCCTCTTCCTGGAGCCCTGCGTCTCCTGAGCAGCTACTCACCTATTGGGAGCCCAGAAGCCTCCTCTGAGGTTGGGGATCTTGGACGCACCACACCAACCACAAAGACAAAACAGCCCCCACCCACTCGTGTCTGGCACATTTTCCTCTTTGTTTCATTATGACTTCCAGAGAACTGTACCATCCCCCAAAGAAAACCTGACTTTCCCCTATTATCCTCAGGGATCTGCTTTCTAGACAGTTTTATTCTGCTACCTCTGGAAAATACTCAAGTTTAGGGTAAATAGACCAGGAGTCGAAAACTTCTAAATAAGACTCAATACTCCACTTCTTGTTGTAGTATACTAATTGATCCTTAAAACATTATCAAACCTTTGGCCATGTCTACTGCTTGTTTCTCTTTTCTCAAGGAATGAGGAGTAGGCCCTTCGGCCAGGGGGAAAGTCCACGAGCTTGAAGAAGGCTTCCTCCCTGCTTCCTGAAACACACCTGCCAGCTGCCTGAGGCATCGCCCTTCCCAGCCTGCTTGTGGATAAAGTCACTTCTCCCAGGAACCTTGGTCCTTAGCTGGTCAGAGCTCCTCCACCTCTACTCCGTGTTTGACCTACCCACTGCTACTTTTCTCAGATGCCAGCACATTTTAAATATTTCTTTAAAAGTTAACATCTAAGCTCAAAGATGGGTGTGTCAGAGAAAATGGGCTTAGAAGCCCAAGTACCAGCAATGACAATGTTGGAGCCTCACGTGGGGTTCCGCCCTCTGTCATTCCTACCCACAGACCAATGGCATCTCATGCCAATCTCTCCCCTCTCTGCTTTTCTGTCCAACGGCTTCTTCTGGCTGCCAGACCCCACTCTACCAGTTCAGGGGTGCTGGCTGAAAATACCAGGTAGTTTCCGGCTTCAAGGAATCAAGGAGGGGAGTGGATTTAAATTTTCCCTAGCCCAGCTGGGTTGGCTCAGTGGTTGAGTGTCAACCTATGATCCAGGAGGTCATGGTTCAATTCCCAGTCAAGGCATATGCCCTGGTTGCAGGCTTGATCCCCAGTGTGGGGTGTGCAGGAGGCAGCCTACCAATGATTTTCTCTCATTATCACCATTTCTATCTCTCTCTCCTCCCTTCCTCTCTGAAATCAATAAATAATAATAATAAAAATAAAATCTCCCCAGCTTCCCCACCAATAGGTAGGACTATACAGACAAAGCTCATTATATTGCACTTCACAAATCTTGCATTTATTTTTACAAAGTGAAGGCAAGACTCTCCACCAGCAAAATAGTTAAGTGCACTTAACTGTGTTGGTTTGGAACTAACCATACAAGAAAGCAAGTATGTTTGTATTAAGTTGTATTCTGCACTGTATCCCAGAGGTCCCCAACTTAGAGCCTCGGTTGCCTACAGCAGTAATCTACTCTTCATGTTGGTCTTTTCCTTACCTGTATCACTCTCCTTCCTGTGCTTTCTGGGATCACATCCTAATCAGACTACAGTGCTTGCCCTGCACTTCTGGTCTCATGATCAGTTTCTGCGGAAACTCAACCTGAAACCTCTCAAATATGTGCTTTCTAAAGAGAGGAATCTGTCCTATTTGAAGAGTGCAGTTATGAGGTCAGATTTTTCCCTAGGAAAGATGTTATTTCTGTAATGAAGAAAGTATGAGTTATCTAGTTCATTCTCTATGAAATTGTTTAAAATTAGATATTTTACTGAATAAAACATAGAAGCAACAATATGTTGAGTGGTATCTCATATGTGACATTTTTGTACACAAATTTATAATGAAAGTTCCTTAGGTCCAATGCCAGCAAACAGCAGTAAAATTGCAAATATGACTAGAATCACCTAAAATGAATTAGAAGTAACATAATGGGCTTTGATTGAGCCTCCGATGAGAATGGAGGAGGATGATAATCAACACATCCCATACAAAACCTTGGTGTGACCTTGTCAATACTATTTCCATTAGGACATCCTATAGTGCTGTTCGCCAAACTTCTCACAGTGAAAACTGACCTGAACTTGTATGCATGCATATAAGTGCAACCAATGGACACAAAACTCTGGGGAGAGAGGGCATGCATGGGAGGGGAGGAAGGGCATGTATGGGGGGGGGGGGCGATGGTAAGATATGTACACAGATAATAATTTAATTTAAAAAATTGACCTGATATTGCAACATGTTTTTATATACTACTAGTGGTCTGGTGCACAAAATTCGTGTGGGAAGGGGGTGTGAATACTTCAGCCAGGCCTACAAACTCTCCAATCTGAGACCCCTGGGGTGGGGTGGGGGGGTCCAATTGCTATTTAGACCCAATCCCTGTGATCTCCCCTAACTACTCTGCCTGCTAGCCTGATTGCCCCATCTGCACCCCCATGGACCTAATCACTCCCAATTGCCCTCCCCTCCTGGCCTGATCGCCCCTAACCACCTCTGCCTCAACCCCACCACTCTGGCTTTTTCCAGAAGGTCTCCCCTTCTAATTAGCATATTATCCTTTTATTAGTATAGATATGAAGTTATATATTAAATTTTGTTCTCCTTAGTCACCATGGTGAATAAGTCATCAAATGTTCACATGATTATAAGCCCCTAATGCCACCCCTAGAACTTTCCCTGTGTTAGGCTGCTTCCACTGATGTTTTTCTTAAGATCTCGCTGTGGTAGTCAGTCATGTTATTCACCAAATTTTTGTTGTTCTTCCTCTGGATATGCAATCCCCTACTTCCCTTGAATCAAATGTGGCCATGTGATTCGTTCTGGCCAATGAAATGTGAGCAGAAATTATATGTTTGTTCATGTGGCAGCTTTAAGAGCCAGTGTGTGATTTCATGTGCTCCATTTCCATTGGCTACACTACTGGATAGGGTTGCTGGTTTAGTCTGGTATCAGAGTGAGCCCCCCCAGCCAAACCTCAGTGGTCAGTTAGTTCGAACAAAAAAATAACCATTTCTTGTCATAAGCCACTGAGATTTTAGGGTT